AGACTCCGGTTTCTAACCCTCTCAGAAGCAACCGGGGCTGCCTCTTCGTGGCTACTGTCCCAGTTCTTCCTCCCTCAGTGCCTGGCCGCATTATTCTCGTGTCTTCCCGGCCAGGCTTTCATCCACCCAACCTCCTCTCCACCCAGTAGCCAATCAATCCAGCCATGCTACTTGCTTACTGAAAACCACTAGGCATTTCCCTATTACCTTCCAGCGTAAAATCCAACCCTTTTATCTCCTGCCCAAAGCGCTTCCTGAGGGGCCAGAATTTCCCTTCCAGGCACGTCTCCTGCAGCCTGTCACCCAGCAGCCCTGTCGAGGCTCAGACTCTTAGGCCTGCGCACCATTCTGGGGAAAGTGTGTGCGTTTTGATATCTTTGCACGTGCTCTTCCTTCTGGCAGGAAGACGATCTGGTTCTCCAAGTTCATCCTTCAAGTCTCCCAAGGCACCTCCTCCAGAAGCCCTCTCTCATCACTGGCTTTGGGTAGGTGTCCCTCCCTGTGACAAGGCAGCTTCCATGGCATTCCCTGCTTCCCTCCTTCCAAGCCCTTACCACCAACCCTGAACCATCACAGACTGGTCTGCTTTTCCCACCGGTCCACAAGGAACATCTGGTCTCCTTCACCTTCCCCTCTCCAGGGCCCAGTGGCATTTAATAAGCAGCTGTGGGCTAATAATGATAAAAAGAACAGCATGCACCAAACATTTATTGAGGACTTAGATAGCCAGGTGCTGTGCTAAGCGCATGCATTGTATCATTTAATCCATACAGGTAGCCCTAGAAGGTAGCTTACTCTTGCTCCCATTTTACAGATGAAAAAACTGAGGCATGGGGATGTTAAGTAACTTGCCCAAGGTCACATGTTTTGTCAGTGACAAAATGCAGAGCAGAGCACACTGACCAGTCAAGTGAGTGAGGAAATGGCAACTTTAGGAGGCAGAGGGCCTAGAGCTTCTGCTCAGAATTGAGACAGGGCCACATTCAGGTAGTAGCGTTAATATTAACTGTGTGATCCTGAGAAAAAGCCACTGAGAAATGAGCTCTGAGTTCACCCCAGGAAAGAGAAGACCATTAGCTCTGAGAACTAAGCAGCCATCACACAGCTCTGAGGGCCTGAAGTCACCATATTCCTAAGAAAAACAAGGAGAGAAAGGCTGACCTCATTAGTCCCCCAACCCCCCCGCCCGACCCCTCTGTCCTGGTCAGGCTGCCCACTGAGTGGCTCCCAGCACCATGCTGCTTCCCCGGAAGGATTGTAGCCCAAGAACCACAAACCCCACCGCTCCCTCCAATTACCCGCAATTCCAAGCTATGCCAGGAACACTCGAGGGCAGAAAATGGCTTGAAATCTGTGTGCGGGAGAGGTTGGGAAGGGTGAGGAGAGCAATTTTTGTTTCACCCCATTCCTTTGTATAATATTGTATCCTTCTGACAAGTCCGCATAATACAGCTTAACTTCCCCAATTGCTGCCTTAAGAGAAAACAGTGAAGACCTATCTTTAATGTCAAATGAACAATGGGCATCCTTCCAGAGGAGGAAAATGACTTGCTTTGAAAGAGTTGGAGGAGAAAAGTGCAAAATGTTCCAGCTTAACGTGAGGGGGGAAGTCGGCAGCTGTGTGTTGGCACATCGGCTCCCCGGCTGCAAGACGAGGGCGGCCTCCGCCAGCCTCGTCTGTCTGTCGGCCCACAGGCTGAGCAGGAAGCCTCTCTCAGCGCGGGTGGGAGCAGACGGCGGTGCTTGTTCCTAGGGAGACCAGCGGGCCTCCCTCAGCCCAGGTATGTATACGTGATTATAGAACTTTCTCTTCCAAGACAATGGATGCCTGAAACCATCTGTGGGACCCTCTGGGAACTTCAGCATCTGGTTCTCCTTCATCTTCCCACCCATTGCCACTCTCCATGAGGCATCAAGTGGGCCTAGTTGCTGACCAGCCTCTGCATAAAGGCTTGGCGGACTAAACACTATTTAAACTCATTAGGCTTTTCCCATGCAATAAGGAGCATCTTGGGCTACCTTTCCAGATCCAGGCTCCATACCTGCTGCCTCACGCTGGATGCCTCAACCGTGCATGCTTCTTGCAATTTCTGACTGCGCAATTTCACGTGGTCCTGCCCTATGTCTTTATACAGGCTGTTCCCTTGGTCTGAAATGGCCCTGAAAAGACTCATCATCCTGCAAGGCTCAGCTCAAGTATTTCCTCCTCCTGCAGTCCTGTCTGACCTCCCCAGTAAGTTTCTCACCCTCCTCCTTCCGGGCCCAGGTTCCCTACGTTACAGCAGATATCTCCCTGTGTGAAATGAATCAATTTATATGACTTATGACTTCTCCCTTATTAGGTGATGACTTTTTTAAGAACAGGGACTTTGTCTTATTCATATATACATGTACATATACAGTTGGTACATATGGATTCACACACATATTCCAATCCCTGCTCTGGACCTAGCTCGGGGCTGGCCACGTAGTATTTGCCAAATTAATATTTATTAGTTTGGAGGGACTAAAACTGAGGTTCTTAACCCTACCTGCAAATCGGATCACAGGAAAGAGCACTGAACTCATCCTTTAGAAATCAAAGAAGGTCTGCTAGAAGAGATGAGATTTGAGCTGGTTCATAAGGATGAGCAGGAGATCACAAAGTTGAGGGCATAAGGGGGTGCATCCTGCAGAGGAAACAGTTTATTCAAAGCTTGGAAAGACCAAAGAAAATTGGTGCATTTGGAGATCAGCGAATATCTCCAGAAGCCTGATATATTGGTATCGTGATAGGAGTGGAAAGATAGAAAGTGTCAACATTTGGTAAAAGAATAAGGATTCTGGGATTTCTTTGTCCAATGGGAATGAAGGGAGCCTGGGAATTCCCGCTCAGTAACCGCAAGCCATTGGCGTCCCAGGTAAGTGGGTGTCAGAACAGCCATTATCTCTCCTGTACATACATTATGATGGTGCCTTTCAAATAAATGAAAAAGTGGACGCTCCATTTACAGTTCCTTCCAAATGACCCGCAATCAATCACAACATTCATTATTCAGAATCTGTTTCGGATGAAGTAGGGATGGTGAGTTGGCAGAAGGGCGTGGCGAGGGGCATGGCTCAACTCCTAGGGGAAAGGCTGAGGGATTTAATGAGATGATATCTACAAAGCACTTTGATCTCCCTGAGGCCATGTGCTATAGCTCCTGCTCAGGGACTGAGGCCTGGGGAGATAATGTTTCCAAGCAGAGATGCCAGAATGAGGGAAAGCTTCACAGAATGGAGGGGAGAGCCTTGCTCCTAAATACCTCCCTTCATCAGCATTGCGCATAGAACCATCTATGACAGTAAGCACAAGGAAATGCCAGTTTGTCAGTTAGGGCACTTAGCTACAGACACTCAGGCCTATGTGGCATCTTTCACCAGGTGCGAACCCACCCTTTTCCATGCTGAGCCACATACCAGCCCCACATCTGAGACTGCCCTGGCTCCAGAGCCTTGCTCACTGGTGGGTCCCGAACCTTTCTCTCTAACTCACCTTTGTCCCCCTTCCCAACCTAACTCAGAGTGCCAGCTGTGAAGGAGGAAAAGAGGACCAGGAACCAGAATTCTAAATTCCCAACCAGCTGCACATTGATGGCACAGGTCCCTCACGGGTGTGTACCTGGAAAGCACACACACACACTCTGTCCACCAGCAGTGGCGTGAGGGAGGCTGGGCAGCACTGTGTGAGGGGAAGTCACGTTCCCTCCTCTCACCCTGCTCAGTGCCTCCTTCTTCTAGATCCTTCCCTCATTCCTTCCTGGCATTACATGTAGACACAGGAGAAGCCCCAGTCTCATGAATGAAGCACTCTGGAGAGAAGCCCAAGAGCGTGAAACAGTAGAGGAAAGTATCCACGAAGAAGAGAGCAACACTCGTTCTCTTCACTCCCCTCACCCAAAGCTTGCCCGCTCTCACTGTGACCCAGTTTTATGTCCCTGATGACTATTTGAGTGTGATCCATTTTAGAATTCCTTCTCCTCACATATTTGCATTAGTTAGGATGAAACTAACTGTGGGAACAAACGAACTCCAACATTTCAGAGGCTTCATTTTGTAGAAAGCTTATTTTCATTCAGGGACAATGTATGTGTTTTTCTTCAGCCAGGGAGCAGGGAGAGAGGATGCTATGGACTCAGCGTTTGTATCCCCAGCCCCCCATTCACCTGTTGAAGCTCTAATCCCCAGGGTGATGGTATTAGGGGGTGGGTCTTTGGGAGATAACTAGGTCATGAGAGTGGAGCCCTCTGGAAAAGGATTTGTGCCATTACAGAAGAGGCACAAAAGGGATGACATCTTTCTCCAGCATGTGAGCACACAACAGGAAGGCATCTCTCTGTAAGCCAGGAAGTGAGCCCTCACTAGGAACGAAATCCATTGGCACCTTGATCTTGGACTCCAGAAATATAAGAAATAAATTTCTGTTGATTAAGCCACCTGGTCTATGATATTTTTGTTATAGCAACCTAGGCTGACTAAGACAAGGGGCTTGTGTTTCATTCAGGAATTCCACGTGACAGGCTCTGCCATCTCTGTCAGGTGACTTTCAAGGTCATCCTGGGTATCAACATCCACTTTGTAAAGGGGGAAGAGTATGAAGGATGAGGTGTGAGAGATTGTTGTAGGCCAGGCCTTAAAGGGGCATACCTCACCCCACTCACATCCACTGGCCTCTTTGCTTATTATTCCCTTCCCGCTGTACCTCCTCCCTCTATTACTATAGTAATGATTATTATTATTTAAAGACTTTATTTATTTATTTTTAGAGAGAGGGGAAGGGAGGGAGAAAGAGGGAGAGAAACATCAATGTGTGGTTGCCTCTCACATGCCCCCTACTGGGGACCTGGTCCGCCACTCAGGCATGTGCCCTGATCAAGAATCAAACTGACTACACTTTGGTTCATAGGCCAGCACTCAATCCACTGAACCACACCAGCCAGGGCTAAATAAATAAAATATATTTTTTAAAAAGTCCAGATTTGAGGTTTTAGAAGAAGAGAACTTTTTGGATCTGCATTAAATCAATGGAAAATCGCTGGAGACATGGTGAGGAAGATGTCAGCTGTAGTTCTAGAAGTGCTGCTTGCAGGAACCTCAGGAGCTGGTGATGTGGACACAGGACTGAGGTCCTAGAGACCCAGGGCAATGCGGAAACTCCAGCTGCTGACGGTTCTGGCTGGAAATGGCCATTGAGAAGATGGTCACACAGATGGTGGTACAAGCTTAGGGATAAATAAGAGAATTAGTGGAAGAGCTCATCTGTGCATATCCAAGGTCTTGAGAAAGATGGTGGACACGTGGGAGGAGAGGAGGTCTGTGACTAAGGTAGGGAATCCTGTGCGAGGGAAAGGAAGTGGCACAGAGGTTAGGGAGCAATATCACTGAGGTTTGGAAAAGAAGCAGGGATTGCCCTAGGAAAGGAGGAGACTGGAAGGAGAGAGATGACATGCTGGACAGGGGAGTGGGAGAGGAGGAGGATCCCAACCCCACTGCTGGTCCTGTGGTGGAAGGTGTGAGGCGGTGAGCAGCCTTATCTTCAGAGGGCTATGCAGGATGAAGGGGGCCAGGTGCAGCAGGTCTCAGGTCTCAGGTCAGGTCAGGCGGCGGCAGGCACACACCAGGAAACCCTGGAGGACAAGCAGGAGTCCCGTAGGGTCCAGTGCAGAGGAGGTGCAAGGGGAGAATGGCTTGTGACTGAGCCAGGCCTGATCGGAGAGGGACTTGGAGAAGATGGGAAAGGACAGAAGACCTGACAGACCATGAGCTGCGGGCGACAGTGAGCCCTGTTGAGTGATGGGTGCATTTCACTGTATGTAAATTATATCCCAATTTATTTTTTTTAAAAAAGAATACAAACCCATGAGGGCAATTATTTAAATTATGTAAATTACATAGAAAAGTATCTACCATTTCCCTCTCATGAGGAGACTTGTGTTATATATACTTTTTTAAAGGCATAAGCTCTGAAGATGAAAGCCCTCTTAAAAATGTATATCGATGGCTAATATGTGAGCAAGAATGATTAAGAAAGACTCACAAGTCAGAAACAAACATATTATTCTGCTGCTTTTTTAGTCACTTAAGTTAGGCTCATCTGACCTGGCGAATGTTTCAGCTCAGGTTTGCAATGCCTGACAGAACGTGGAGAGTTAGTTTTGTTGGGGAAACGAAGGATGAATTCTACTTTCAAGGTTAAACTTTCAATCTGGGAGCTGCAACAGCACTGTCAAATAATCATGATTGTTATTTTTATAAATCGATTTCACTTTCAAACAAGTTGGGAAATTTCTGACTTAGTTTCCACGAGACCTCACTTCCCGCGGGGCCTGACGGGCCACCTCCAGGGGGTCTCCCGCTGGAGGAGCGCTGCGTCATTGCAACGGCAGCTCCCACGGAGAGGAGTGCCAATCCTGTGGCTGAGCTGCTGAATAGCAGGGGAGGGAGGGAGTGAAGCTCATTTTTCCAGGCAGATCTGAATGCTTCTTTCTCACTGGCACTCTCAGTCGGTATTTATCTAGCATCCAGGCTGGTGTGGCTTAGCGGATTGAGCGCAGGCCTGTGAACCAAAGGGTTGCTGGTTTGATTCCCAGTCAGGGCACACGGCTGGGTTGAGAGGATCAGGTCCCTGGTTGGGGGTGTGTGAGAGGCAACTTGTTGATGTATGTCTCACACATCAGTATTTCTCTCCACCTCGTTCTCCCTCCCTTCCCATCTCTCTAAAAATATGTAAATAGAATCTTAATTATAATGATAAAATATTTATCCAGCTATTCAAAGAATTATTACTAATTATTTATCTCTTTTGCCTTTTTGTTGTATTTCTCTACCTTTTTGTGGTAGACTAAACTTGGGCAAAAGGAGGAAGTCCTAGCCTCTTCATTCTAGGCCTTAAGATGTCAGAAGTAACACTTGACCCACTTGTAAACCTCAGACTGCAGATGTAACACCTATGACAAAATAAGGTGTATTCTTCTGGGTGTGGATTTATACAGCATTAAGCTTCATAAAATATGATTAATTTTTCTAGAGGGTTTTATTTTTTGCCATGGTACCATTTTGGGAGGGTTCCTAACCCAGTCCTTTTCTGACTTACTACTGTATTTTGCCACGTATAATGTGTAGTTTTTGCCCAAATTTTTGAGGAAAAAATAAGGATGCACATTATACATGGGTAGTACTAATTCTATATCTATATAAGTGGTTTTCCTTTATTTATGCTTATACATTAAAAGTGTAACTCTAGAAAGCAATGACAATATCTGTATGCAAAATAATACCCTGAAATATGACTATAGGTTTTGTTTCTAAATTTAAATAAATAAGTAATTGAATTGAAAGATTAAAATGAAAGATTTCTTTCCTGAAAGTCTGAGTAAAATATGTGGGTACACATTATACACGGCAAAACACCGTATCTTCCCTGACATGGGATGTTATAATAGTTTCCTGGGAGAAGAAACTTTGCCATTTGAAGTACAGTGGGAATACAACAGATGTCAGCTTTAGAGTAAAAGGTCCCATGTTGCATTTCTGCAGGTATTGAGTAAGAGCATGGAGGAGCCGGGGGCCACTGAAGTGTCTGGTCCAAGTCTCTGGAGGACAAGAAGCCAAAAGGTCTCCCAAAACACTCAGATAAGGTGGTTTGTGTGCAGATGCTTTCTTCGAAGTGAAGGAAGCAGGGTAGGGCAGAGTTGAAGGGGCAGCTGACCTGGGATGCAGTTCCAAAGGACCCCAGGGGAGTTCTGAAGCTGAGGTGACTCTTCAGAAATGTCCAAAACGGAGATGACAGGGTTGGGCCTGCGTACCCCACGTTGACCAGTGACTGGGTGGAGGCTGTCCCCAGGAGGCGCTACCTCAGGAGAGGCAGCTCCCTTCAGCTAAGGACAATCCAGTAGACAGTAGCCAACACTCCCAGCAGCTGGGGATTAAGTGCCTTAGGTCTGGGGGGGGATCCAAGTGGCACACCACAGCATCCCCTATGGGACCACCGTTTAAGTATACAAAGTTCACCGCTGAAGCCTTTCTTGGCCCCTAAGATGTGACTCTTCTTCATCATTTGTGTTTGGATTTATCATTTACGTAGCCCTTCCACATCTACTGTCTGGATTCATAAAACATAACAAAATGTTAGATGGGAGAGGAATATAATCTAATCCAACCTCATTTTATAAATGGAGAAACTGAGGCTGAGAGAATAGAAATAACTTACTCGAGGTCATGTAGTCATCACAGAGCTAGGACTGGGACCCTGGTCTTCTGACTTCCAAACTCTTAAGTTCTTTCTACTATCCATGCATGCTGTTTCCATTTGAGTCTCACAGTGACCCTGGAGAATAGGTAGGAAAAAATATCTTATAGATATATATATTTTGAAAGATGAAGTGACAGCAAAGCTCACAAAGCTAGAAAGTGAAAAGATTCCAACCCAAGTCTGTCTGAGGACAAAACTGTGCTCCGCCAACCACATCGCACTGGGGCCTCTCCCAAGGAGTCCCACCTCTATTCAGTTCAGCTCAGTAATCACTTATTGAACATCTGGATGCTATGCTGGGCCCTGATGATACAACAATTAATTCAACACTACATCAACTTTCAATGAGCTCATCCCACTTAAGTGGAAAAAAATGAGAAAATACAGATCAGTGCAGTGTTACCCAGTAGACGTTCTAAGAAAATGAAACAATGCCACTGGGGCACAGAGGAGGACCTGAGCTCCACCTGACAGCTTCTTGGAGGAGGCAGTACCTATAGGTGTTCATATTCGAACAAGAGGTCCTATGCCTCATTGTCCCCACACCCCTCACCTGATCTGCCCTAGCTCAGGCGGTGGCTCCAGCATGCACTCAGTGACTACAGCCGGACACCTATAAGAGGGGACAAGAGCAAGTTTTTCCTTCTCCTTCATTCCACCCACAAGAACCCATCTGTCACTGAGGATTCATCAAGCTTTCTCACCCCACCCCACCCACGTCTTTGCCTTAGTTTATATGTCATGACTTGTTAACTAGACAAATAAAACTACCTCCTATCTGGTTCTCTGCACCCAGTTTTGCCCCACCCTTTCCTTTCTGCCTGCATTTACCAACTTTATACAGGGCAAACACAACTCCACCTTTCCCTGTTAAATTTCCTCTCTGGCCCCACACAGCCTTCTCCGTGTATGAAGGCCCTGACACCTTTATGGCTTCAGATACAGCTCATCTGCCTGGAAAGCCCTTCATTGAATCCTTTTTTTTTTTAACCTTGCAAACACTTGCTCTTTCTCCAAAACTCAGCTTGGACACCCAGCTCTTCCAGGAAGCCTTCCCTGATATTCTAGTCTGATACAGATGTTCTCATTGTACACCTTTTAACCTAACTAAGCCCTTACCACACAATACTATACTGATTGGTATAGGTGCGTATTCTTCTCACTAAGCTGTGAGTTCCTGGAATGTAGAAGGTTTGAATGGAGGGGCTCATTTGCTTTGTATTCCAAGCACTAGCACATAGAAGCTATTTAGTAATTATGGAAGTGAGGCATTTCAGGCAGCAGGAATAGTTTGCACAAAGGCACAATGCAGTGAAACAATGGTGTATTGGGGGATACTGTATGGCAAACACTATTATAATAATGTAAAGCAGGGGATAGTGAGCTTTTCCCGTAAAGGGGCCAGATGGTAAATATCTTAGGCTTTGCCTCCCAAGAGGCAGCACTGAAGAGATTGTGTTGGTACTTGTCTAATATGCAACCATTCACAGATACAAGAGCCATTCTTAGGTAGGGGTCTGATCTGTGAGAGCCATATTTTGCCCCCAGGTTGTCGTTTGCCAACCCTTGCCACACAGGATGAGTTGACAACGTCCACAGTGAAGGAACAGGTTGGAGAGGTAAGCAGTCACCTGATCATGGAGAGCTAAAATGGCAGGAGGGAGATCTTGGACTTGATTCCATAATCAATGGCAAGCCATCAGAGGGCTTCGGGCGTGGGAGTGAGCTGATCTGATTTGCAAAGGCTTTGCAAAGGCTCTGTGGTTTGCAAAGGCTCTGTTGGCTGCAGTGGAAAAGGGACTCTGTTCATCTGGGTGGGCAAACTGGCACCCACCCCGTCACCACCCACCACTTCCAACATGCAAGCCTCTCAGACAGATCCTGACACCATCACTTTTTCCAAGTGAGGAATGCCTGGACAGGACAACCCTCAAGACCACAGTCTTTTATAGCTCCCTGCATGCACTAGGGGGCCTTGGGTTTGGGAGAACACTCCTAGGGGACAAGTTTCCTCATCCCTTCCAAGGACAATGAATAGGTCATTTAGAACCAATGGGACATGACCTGTAAAGAACATTCCCTGTGTGGATCTACAGACCCATTTCTGCCTGGGCTTCCTCATGACAATGGTTATTTATCTGACCTTGACTTTCACATCAGTCCAACTCCCAAACTTAGTTCCAAAACAGGTCTTAAATCACTCAGAAGCCAAGCCAAGCCAGGCTAAAAGAGGAAATAACCTTAGCCAGATCTGTGTTCCAGAACACTCTATGGACAGCAGAACAAAGACAGGGTAAAATCTAATGAAAACACTCTGAAACAATGAAAGCAAGATGTTGACATCTTCAGAGACTGGTTCAAATTAAGACTGTATTGACCATGGATAAGACAGGCAACTGAGTCAGAAGGCTTTTCAGGCAGTAGGTCTTAGTAGCTAAACCAGGCGATGACAATTACTGGACAGTGCAGGTTGGCACATGAGTTAAATGGGCATCTGCTTTTGGATGCCTGTTTTGACTCAGTGAGGCCACTTCCAGAATGGTTCACTTAATACAGGCTGATAGAGAGGACACACCCACTTTTACTGCTATATTAACTTTCTTCTACACACTTCCCTCCATGAAAGTAACCTTTAACCAGGTGGTAAGCAAGCTTGCTATTGTCTTTCTGGTTTTATTTCCTTGGAGAGGAAATGCATTTAGTGCTGGTGTGAGATCCAATCTGTTAGCTTTAGGCTACCCTGAGACCAAATGGGTCATTCAAATACCGAGTCTTCATTGCATCAACTCTGCACCCCCTAACCACCTCCCCACCATCCCCAACATCTCTCTGTCCTTTACTCTGGTGAAATGGCTTCAGCGTTCTGGAAAAAATCCTCTGCAGATTAGATCATCAAGGAAGGACAAGTGTCACACCTGAACGTAGTTACCTCAAGAGCTTTGGGTTTTATAAGTTCTACTGGGAAGTGAGCTAATATGGATCAAATAACTTGAGATTGGCCAACTTCACAAGCTTTAAAATTATCTTAGAAAGCTATCAAGAGAAGTACCTACAATTCCCCCACAATAACCTGCCCAATATTCTTATGGCCAAATATTTTAGATGAAGTATCATAAGAAGTTGTGCTAGGTCCCTAGCAATCTTATAGTCCAGACCCTCATATTTTAACATCTATTAACAAACTTTTAAGTGGGTATCCTGAGGTGGGGAATGTGATTGACAATTTGAATAAAATGAATCTGTGTAAAATACTGAGACTACAGCACATTAGCCCACCAAACTCTTGGCTACTTTGGTGGCTTGAAGAGAATTTATTTTCTGCTACAGCCAAGAACCCTGCCCATCTTTAAGAAAAGGATCTTGGTTAACAGGCCATGTTTAGCTGGGGAGTCTTTCTCAGAACTACAGGGCTCTGGGGGAGAAAGGTATTATAGGACTTTTGTAAAGGATTGTTTCTGGATTGTAAACCACTTAGTGACCTATTTTGAGGTTAAGTGACCTATGTCTGGCTAAGACTAGGGTACTATCTAAGAGGAAGAGGAAGCTCTAGGAGTAACAATAACCCAGACATCTCCCCACCGCCACTCTCAAACCTTTTGATAATGGGTGAAGGGAGGCCTGTACTAGGGATCAAAGTCCTGCCTTCACAAGCTTCTACTAAGTCCTTATTTTATGCAGAGAGGTCAGCTTTGAGGGCTGAGACTTACATTAGGGCAAAGATAAAGAAGAAAGCCCACAACACTCATTATCAAAGACCTCTGCGTACAAAGGGACCAGGGACCCAACTCACAAGTCAGAATTCCTGGCCTTAAAATGAGCAATTAATGGCAAGTTTGGGAAATATGTGTAAAGGGTCATTGGACATGGTGATTCCAAGTGGGACCTGTGTCAATTTACATGTCAAAGGGAGAACTGACAACATCTTGCTTACACACCCACTGGCCAATAGAAGACAGGAGACAACGCCTAGGAGATACATGGATGGCAAGTGCTTCACCTACCATCCAAGATCACCCAGATTATAGGAGAGAGGTTCATTGCCCCACCAAAAATCACCCAGATTATAGGACAGAGGTTGTTTTTAGTATGTGGGTCCTCCACCAGAATTCACCAAGGGAGAAATTCTGAAACTAATTTACTATGAGAAGGCCCTAAACTAGTCAGGCTGCAGAAGTCCAATAGAACTCCCAAGTTGAGATTGGGCATGAATCTTTCTCATCCCCTAAATGAGGCAGGTATCAAATGCCTCAGATTCCTCTTGCTGAGTGGTTCTTGGCTTCTGCTTGGCAGACTCCACTGTGTTGGGCTCTCTGGGGGCAGTTCTCCTAACCAGATCTCTGAACAATCACTATTTCATCGAATTACCACGACTTTCCCTGGGCCACTCATTTCCTGTACTTTGAACACATACAAGGGCCTGAGTAGTCTCTCTCACCTCAGTAAGGAAGTTAGTCCTCAGTGGTCAGCTCTTTTATACTTTCTGCATCATCCCAAGCTCTGAGCATCATTGGGTCCCCTTCAGGTATCTCTTGGTGTCTTAACTTAGGATCATAACATCAATAAGGATCATAACAAGAGCTCTGCTGGACGAAGGCAATGACCACAGTCTCACAGACTGGCCCGGGCAGAATGGCCCATTGTCTGAGTGCAGTTATCACTTAGCTTTGCAACTTTGCGTTCCTACTGAATAACTGCCATGGACACCCAGCCTCCGTCTCCAGACCTTGCAAGACCAACATCTAGTGACTGTCCGAGGGTACCTCCCAGCTACACCACCTCACAAGCATCCACTTCAGGGGACACCGCATAATCACATGGTGTAGGAAAGAAGCTGAACTTTGGAGCTGGACAGGCTCACTGCAGTGCCCCTGACCTTGGGGTAGGGGGGAGGGACACACCTCAGGCACATTATTAACATGACAAGGTAGGTGGAGACCAGGGAAGTTCTGCTGATTTACAATAATGGCAAGCTTTTGTCAAGTGTTTACTATGCAGTAGGCATTGTCCAAGCACTTTGCACATATGACGAAGTCATTTAAGCCTCCTGGCAATCAGACTGCTTTCATTCCTATTTTATATGAGAAAAGTGAGGCACGGAGGAGTGAAGGAATCTGAGACAGGTAGTCAGGGGTTGACTGGGAAGTCAAACCCAGGCTGCTGGCGGCCATGCCCGGGCTCTGGCCACCTGGCCACAAAGCCCCTAGTCAGGACTGTATTTCCCCTTCCACCCTTGAATGCTCCCAGGTCCTCTAGAGCTTTAATGGTCCCACTTTAGAGATAAAAAGATGAGTTTCAGAGAGTTTAAATCATTTTTCCAAAAATCACAGTTAGTAATCAAGCCGGGATTTCAACCCCTGCCTCCAAGGTCCACACTCTCCCTGCTATGATGCTCAATAGGTTCATTTTCCAGAAGTTTTGAAACCTACAAGTATGAGAAAGAGAAAGGGGGGAGATGGGAGAGCAATTCAGAAGGGAGAAAAAAAGAATGGACATTCAGGGAACAATTAAATGAATAAAATATTTAATTTTTACATTTGTTATGGATCTGAAGTTACATCATGTGGGGTTTGGAACTTAAAAATGTTACTTGGTTTGCAAATAAAGTGTTCACGCATTGTTCATTTAAT